GTTACTTGGAATTACTCCACCACAGACATCACTTGGAATTACTCCACCACAGACATCACTTGGAATTACTCCACACTTTGTTTCCCTAGATGATTTATTTATAGTTAATAGTTTGAGTATGAAAGAATGATGGTTGGAACGATCACTAGTATTCCATTCTAATTACTTGGAATTACTCCACAACACACGTTACTTGGAATTACTCCACACTTTGTTTCCCTAGATGATTTATTTATAGTTAATAGTTTGAGTATGAAAGAATGATGGTTGGAACGATCATTAGTATTCCATTCTAATTACTTGGAATTGATATTACATCAAACTTACTATGACTATGGTGACAAGTCTGAGGGCTTATTATGCCAAAGATAAGGTTTAGATACCCGCGATGGGCAGAGCATATATAACCCATTTTATAACTTTGTGCTTTACAACAAACAAACAAACCCAATCTTCCTTGTAGAATAATGACCACCCCTCTGGTGGGGGACAAGGAATCATTAACGACCAGCTGTCGACGGAAGGATATGACATTTACAGACCACAAGGAGTTCTGGAACGTACACAGAGTAATCTAGATGGTGTCAGCTTATCCTGGCAGAACCTGGATGTTTTTGTACCAGAAAAGACCAAGTGGAGTTGTAGGAATTGTTTTAGAGCTTCGCCACCGTCCAATCAGACGAAACAAATTCTTCAAAATGGTGAATATATTTTACATACTTAATTTCCAGTTTCACGTAAAAAACAATACGTCAACTATTTATTTTCCAGTCTTGTTTTAGATATACATGACTGTTGATTTTAAGTTCAATACGGAACTGTTATTTAATTTATGTTGTGTGAATGTTAAAATATAGTTATGGCAAGTTTACTTACGCAACTGTTTACAAATCATTTGTTGTGTAGTTCAATCGTTGTGATCTGACGTCATGTTACGTCATGTGACGTCAGCGAGGTCACGTGACGTTTCTAGAACTATCTCGTTCCTTCGTGAATTGTCGGGAGATTACTAGATATAGGGTAGTCTGGTATATATATATATAAGAGGGTGACAACGTGACGGAATAATGTGTGTGTAGGTAGTGAGTAATTGATCTGCAGTGAGAAAGTATTGTTGAAGT